AGGTTGCTAATGAGATGACATTAAAATAAGGAGACTATCTTTGATTATCTGGGTGGGTCTAATGTAATTACGGTTAGCCCTTCAGATCTGTGTTAGCCCACAGATTCAATCAAACAGATTAAATCTGTCAAAAAAAAAAAAATTGAAAGGCCTAGCCATGATGGCATAAGCAGGACCCTCCAGCACGATGGCTGGGGCTGTATGGGAGGCCTGGATTTGGTTCCAAGACCAATCTAAATGGGCTGGATATAATGACAAATGCCTGTGGTCCTTGCTCACTGGAAGACTGGGGCAGGAAGGATTGCAACATGGCAAGACTCTTTCAGGAATAACCATCCTCTTTCTCTGCTTATTTGCTCCCTAACCCCTCTCTCATTAAAATATTTAAAAATTGATTACATCTGTACTGAACTTTATCCCAATCTTTGTACTTTTTACATTTTTTTTCTTGTCATTATTCCCTAGAAATACAGTATAACAACTATTTACATTGTATTAGCTATTACAAGTCATCTAGAGATGACTTGCAATATGTAAGAGGAAGTATGTAGGATATACACAAATACTGTACCATTTTATAACGGACTTGAGCTTTCATGGATTTTGTTGTCTGTGGGGGTCTGGTCCTCCACAGATAACAAGGCACAATTCTACAAGTGTCTTGAACTACAGAAGGAAGCAGAAGCATTATATGCAAAGATGTGGCATCATTGTGAGGCCACTGTTGGCTTTGAATTTGTGTTGTTTTAAGCTACTGTTTGTGGTAATTTGTTACAGAAGGAATAGAAACACAACACACATCTTATGCTGTTGGAAACTACTTTTGGAAAGTCTCATTTTTCTCTGTCTTCAGGAAATCTTCTCTGAACTTTCATGTTATAATAGAATGTCTGCTCCACCCTCCCAGGACAATCTGTGCTTTTGTGTATTATATAATGTATTAGGCTGCTCAACAATATTCCATTTTATTTTTCTGTAACCTATGCTAAACCAAAGATGACAAAAAATGTAGACTATGTCTTTAGTCTCAGGGTGAAGAGCTAGTTCCAAAACTTTAATCCAAAATTTAGCAGCATCAAAATAACATACCCTATATCGGACTACAATATTTAAACAATCAAAGAGTCATAGTCCATGAACCCATTAGTACACTTACCTTGGAAACCAATGATAAAAGTTTTATAAAGTGTTACAACTATTATAAAATGGCTTATCGCAATAAAGAATGTAACCCATGACCACAAAACAGATAAAAGTTCAAACACACAGTCTTAAAGGCAATAGTTCTGTGTCATAACTGAGTGTACTACAGTGTAGTTATATAAGGTGTCCAGTCATCCACAATGAAAATCGTAGTATTTCAAGCTACTGGTAGGAAGTTGAAACATACTAAACAGGCTTTTTATTTTTAATTTACCAGAGGGTACATGAGCTTGCTGGAAAGAGACAGAGAGAGTAAGAAAGCATCTCCTACTGGAAAGGATCATGCTGCAATCCCTTTTCCACCATTTCTCACTCCTTTCAGAGTTTTGGTCATCTGTGAACATTTGCCCAGTGTGTTTTTCAAGCTGCTGCCTGAACTAAACCACATTGTGGGTCACATGGTATCCAGCAGCCCAAGGGCTGTCCCACCAATTACAATTTGAGCAGTGGCTACCTTTAGAAAATAAGCCTTTAAAGAAAATAAGTTTGGTCTTCAGAAGTTTCCAGCCTTTTATTTTCCCCCCTCCATTTGGTCATTTTTACATCATGATGATGTATTTTTCTCATTTCCTTGAATATTGCTCCTTTCCTTTTCAATAATTTTACTTAGAACATTATTTATTCTTAATGTGAGTTTATGCAAATAGTTACTTATATTTTAAGCATTTTTCTTAATTTGGAACACAAGTTGTGTCTCCTGTTAGAGTATGTCAAGTATCAGCAAACATATATGAAGGATGATGGGCCAGCAGAGTCATTTTTCTGTGCATACCACATCCTAATCATTGTGCTTTTAGTTGGGCATTCACTCTAACAGGGTATTCTGAGGCCATTTCAGTCTTGAAGACCTTTTCTTCTACAGAAAACAGGATCAAAATTCAATCCATGTGGTTTTAATACATTCATTAAAAAAAAAAAAAAAGACTTTTAAACTCTTAGAAAAAATCTAAGATAGTATCACTATGACCTTGGCAAGGAGAGGGTGAGTTGAGGTTTGTGGATTAAGGTTTTCCCATATATATTCCAACATTAACTGAATCTGATGGAATCTGATCTACTTCTGCCATATATCATGACTTAACATATAAATGTGTCTCCCATACACAATAATGTCTAGTTTTGGCATTTCTGTTTTTTAGATTTTTTGCCTCTCTGTATACCAATAACATTGTCTTATTGACAAAGTTCAGGCTTTGGAAAAATTAATCATCCTTTAGGAATCATTCCTTAATAAGAAAATTTGTCTTAATAACTGGCAAACTAGGCTTCCCACATTACTGTTCTTCAAAACTGACTTGCCTGCTTGAACATGTATTCACAACGTATTTTAAAATCACTTAGCACTACTTATCTATTGTGATTTTTTACTGGGATTGCATTGCATTTTGGGAAAGGACTGACATTTTATCATACTGAGCTTCCCATCCATGAACATAGAATTGTTTGCCATTTATCTAGGTTTTCATAAATGTCTTTCATCAAAGCATTATGCTAGGTTCAAAATTGAAATCTTCTTTGTAGTCCTTGCATTCAAAGGGGAGTAATTTTTTTTCCCATTCAAGTGAGAGATAAAGCTTGCATCTAGCTGCTACTTCTTTTTCCTTTTCTTCTTCTTCCTCTTCCGCTTCTTCTTTTGTTAATTTGCAGTATATGTATGTATTTATGAAAAATAACTATATCGCTATTTTTGGTATCTGTGTGACTGAAACAAAGTGTTCGAGCCAGGTCTAGTCACTCACTACACAGAAAAGTCAATCTCTAAAAGAACAAGTTTCCAAATACGAAAGCTTTATTTTGTTCATGACAACCAGGAGAAAGGACTCAAAACCCAGCACTTGATCTCCTCTTGGGATCTTGGGCATGCACGCACATGCATGCACCCAGCATGACTTTAAGCCACTGGGTTCAGGACTCAAACCATGGTCAACTATATGGAAGTCCAGCAATATAGCCATTATGCTAACTGCTGGTCCCTGTTTAAGAAAACTTCTAATAGGCTGTTAAATTGTTTTATATTTGTTGTAAACAAAAAATGCTGTAGTGAACATCTTGATTTAGATTTGATTGTGCCTTTGTGAGAATATAGTCATAAATGTCATGATGAGAAATTTCTTGTGAAAAAGTACACACAATTAAAATTCGTAAAAAGAATGCTAAAGTACTGTCTTTTAAAAAGTTTTTATTAACCTTTATTTATTTATGTTTAATTTGATGGGAGACATGGAGAAAGAGAGTGAAAGTAAGAAAGCAAGCCACCAGGTCCGAGTTGAACCATGGTCAACCATGTGGGAGTCCAGTGCCTAAAGCACCATGCCATCTGTTGGCCCCAAGAATGCTGAAGTACTTTCTAAAATGCAAAATTATGTATAATGAGTGCTACATAGTCCCAGGGTATAAAAATACCTGGTCCTCATAATTCCACAAACCTTTCTTTCTTGAAGTTTTATCCAACTGCTCAATCTGACAGATAAGAGAATATCCCACTGTTCATTTATTTTTAATTAGGAGTAATTCTGGCTTTCTTCATATATGAACCTGTAACTTCATAAAATTGTTCTTAAAAATTTAAGTGTACCAGCTGGTGATATGGTGGTTAAGGTGGCTGGATCCCAGTTGGCTGACTATACAGTTCAAGTACTGGATCCAGCAGCTTTAAAAATACACCAGGCAGGGAACCTGCAGTTAGCGTAATGGCTATGTCACTGGACTCTCACGTAGTCAACTGTGGTTCGCGTCCCGGACCCGGTGGCTTAAAACTCACGCCGGGAGCATGTGCGTGTGTGCCCAAGATCCCGAGAGGAGAATGGAGGAGAAGGGATTATGGCGTAACCATCCCCTCTGGGGGGTGATTTCTCGCTTTCTGTCCCTCTGTCTCTGTCTGTCTGGCGAGCACACGCGCCCTATAGAGAAAATCTCTCCAAAAAAAAAAAAAAAATACACCAGGCACATGTGCATGCATGCTCAAAATCCAGAAAGGAGGGAGAAATGGAGAAGAGATTATCGTGTGACCATCCCCATGGGGGAGGGTACTTTCTCACTTTCTCTTTTTCTTTCTCTCTCCCTCAGTTACACTAAATTCAGGGCCAAAGTTTATCTCCAACAGAGTGTATATCAAGGAACATATTTAAGAGTAGGAATAAAATTGAAATCAAATTAATTTGAATTTCTTTTAATATATACATATATATTTCAAAATATTTATATATTTAATTTTTATTTCATTCCATTTATTATTTACTTATTTATTTTATTTGACCAGTGAGTGAGAGAGAGAAAAGGAAAGTGAGAAAGCAAGCCACCAGATCTGGAACTAGAAATGCGGTTGGCCATGTGGGAATCCAGTTGCATTAACCATCATGCCACCTGCAGGCCGCAATATGAATTTCTTAATGAACCACCTGAAACAGAAAAACTGAAGGTTGAAGTCAACACTGTAATGAATGTTATACATAAAACTTGATTTAATAAAGTAGAATTTTATGTTGAAAATAGACTTGAAAAAAAAAATCTGGTCTCCCTCTCTTTTTATTAGTAAGTCAATTTTTACAAGCTCAACAAGAAGATGAAATGTTTCATTCCAATTAACTAGTAGCAACGGTCAGTGGTAGCAGATAAGTGACCCACAGTAAATATCTGAATGAAACAAAAAAGAATGGATGAATGAACTGGAGCCTAGGTTGAGAAGTATGGGCCTTTCTTTCTATACTGTGTTATTAGTGCTGAGTTTGTTGACATTTCATACATTTCTATAATTCTAACTTCAGAGGCACTAAATTAATCTCTTATTTTTAATTTCCAACAGACATCATTTTTTTATTTACATGAATTCAGACGTAAAGAATTTACAAAAGCATGCCTTATGTCAATGACGTGGAATCATGGTAAACACTGTATTTGGTTAAATCACTTTATTTTTGCTTCTAGAGATAAAAGAAATCTGATTTCTTTGTATTGCTAGAGTGGCTATAACAAAGTGTCACAAGTTGGGTGGAGTGGAACAACAGAAATATAATGCTTCATAGTTCTAGTCGCTGGAAGTCTGAGATCAAGGTACTTACTGGCAGGATTGGTTCCATCTGAGGCTATGAGTTGAGTCTGTTCCAGGCCTCTTCTCTCCCTTCTGGGGTTTACCAGCAATCTTGGTATTCCTTAGCTTGTAGAAGCATCACCCCCTCTCTGCTTCTATCTTCAAGTGGCGATTTCCCTTTGTGTTTATGTCTTTCTTTGTATCCAGATTTTCCCTTTTTATAAAGACATCAGTCATAGTGCAGTAGGACATCCTTCCTCTATCCTCACCATGACCTCATTTCAGCTTGCTCACTTCTGTAATGATTTTATTTCCACATCAAGTCAATATCTGAGGTATTTGGGTTAGGACCCCAACATATCTTTTGAGGGAGACACAATTTAAACCCTAATACACCAATATTCACTTGTTTGGCCTTTCCTTTTTTTAAGAGAGATTTTTGTCATAGGGCACATATGCTTATCAGAGATACAGGGAGACAGAAAGTGAGAAATCACCTTCTCCCCCCAAGTGGGGATGGCCACACTGCAATCCCATCTCCTCCATTTTCCTCTTTAGATCTTGAGCACTCAGGCACACACGCCTGGCATAAATTTTAAGCCGTCGGGTGTACTCAAACCACAGTCAACTACATGGGAGTCTACGTATGTAACCGTTAAGCCATCTGCTCGTTCCAACTTGTTTGGCCTTTCTAAGTCCCAAACATAAGGTATTATGATAAAATCAAACAAACACACACACACACACACACACACACACACACACACTTGCTAATCTTTCTAAAACAATGAGTTTCACTAAAAAACGGAATATTGTAAAGACAGGAAGTTGCATAGACAATTTCCGATATCTCATTTCTACATTGCAATTATATGTGCCAATATAAATTGAGATTACATACAAATGTAAAATAAGGATGACTACTGCTCAAAGTGATATTTCTATGTTGTCATTAGTGAGGTAGTATCCTATGGGAACATACTAGTAAATGGTAATTACTTGATTTATAGAGCATCTATTCTTCAAAGACATAAAAACACTATAAACTTGCATGTCTCAGTTTCCTGCACGCACACAATAGGGTTGATAACAGCTCCCTCTCTCCCTCAAAATCAGAGATTTTGAAATGTGTCATTAATATTTATCACCCAAAATCTATTAGAAAAATATGTGCATAGAGTATGTTTGCATCAGTAGCTTCTTATGATCACCTTTGCTTTGGTTCATTCGGGTTCATCAATAAAGAGGTACTTGATTACTGCAAAATCAGTTGCACTGCAGAGAGCTTTCAGGAGACTTGTTGTGGCTTTTTTCTTCAGAGCCTACAGAAGGTATGAAGAGATGTGAGTCTGTTTGCATAAGTGGGTCAAGAGGAAAGAAAGCCAGAGGAGAGATGGGGTTGGGGAAGGTTCCACAAGGTCCACCCAAACTTCCCTAATTGTCCTTTCAGCCCCGAAGGGCAGTCGTGTTCTGGTCTCCTTAAGTCTCTCCCTGCATTTCCTGAAGGGCCCAACTTTGGAAAACTTAAGACACACAAGGGTAGTCGTCTTAGGCCGGAAATGCAGAGGTAAATGCACCCGTGCGGGAGTTCTGAGGGAGTTCTGGTGAACGCCCTGTGTCCCAACACGCGCAACAGCACCCGGAGCCAGTCGCCGGCACTGTCCAACAAGCCTCATTGGAGGCTAAGGCACTTGGCGGAGGGACTCGAGCTGGACGAGCTTTAGGTTTACCCTGGCCCCTCAGTTAGGCACTGAGGCCCCTCCGAGGGGACCAAAGCCACACTGCGGCCTAGGAGACCACTGCGTTCACCTGGCCCCGCCTCAGACCGACCGTGACGGCACCCGCCCTTCACCACATCCTGCCTCTCACTTGCACAGCACCTCGTCTCACCTGCAGAGCTCTGCCCCTTATCCCGGCGTCTCACCTGCATGCACCCCGCCTCCCGCAGCAACCGCGTCGATCAGCTCTCTACATCCCGCCCCTCTCCCGCTTTTCCGCTACCGACCCCGCCCTTTCACCGCCCCCGCCCCTCCTCTCTCGTCGCCCCGCCCGCTCTCAGCTCTCTGGCCAGGCTAACTCCCGCACTTCCCTCCGCCCTCGAGGCTCACCCCGCCGCAGTGGGGCCCGCCCCCTTCGTTGCCAGCCTATCGAAACGGACATACCGGTTCTCGCTGACCAATGGGAGCAGCAGTCGATCCGCCACGCCCCGCGCCGTACGTGGGGTTAAGTTTGCCCCAGAGCCGACCCACGCTGGTCACACGCCATGTGGCGCTGCGGAGGGTGTTCTGCGCTGAGTACATTTCGGAGGTTGAGAGGCAGGTGAGACGCCAGGGGTCCCTGAAAGAGCCTTCCTCGCCGGGCGCGGGCTGGAAGCGGGAGGGTTTATTTTGTCCCTGGACTCAGAGTTGACAGCGCCTGCACTCCAAACCTCCTGTCTGGGTTCCCGCACCGCTAGACTCGCCTGGGGCTTCTGCATCCTGACACCCTTTGTCGAGGACTCTTGCATCCCTTCACTCATTGTTGGTGGGCTCCTGCACCCATGGACCCCTCCTTTGAAATCTTGTGCTTCTAGATCCCTCTTTGGGAGTTTTCGTACCTAGGGACTCCCGAGGACCCCTGTGGAAGCAGTCAATGGGCCCTTTCATCCCTTGGAAATAGCGCGGCGACCCGCCCTCCCACCCCGGGAATTCCTGTCCGGGTGTTGGGATGATGCGGCCCAAAGTCTGCCGGCGGAAGGGGGTCCAGGATCAAGGAGTTGCCCTGACCCCCTTTCTCATTTCTGACCTCAGGTGACTCCAAAGTAGATGGCCCTGTGTGTGTGTGTGTGGGGGGGGGGTCATCAAAGATTTTTTAAATGAAGGTTGTCATTGATATGGATTTAACATGCGTAGTAAAAATAAATAGTAGTTTATGGTTCTCATTAATAGGTTTGCTCCCGTTTCATTTTTGTTGAGGCAAAGTCCTTAAGACACCTGAGGCTTCTGCAGGCTATACTTAACTTTAAGCTACTATGTTCTTAAAATTATAGCCTCTTGGACTTGGACTTTTTTAAATGACTCGTTTAATAAAGAATTTAGATTTTTACACTAATGCACAAGATCTTATTTATTTTATGGAGCAGTTTAGCTACTATTTAGCCCAGGTGAGGAAACATGGAGTGTTAACTTGTTTGGGTGTCCTGATGGAGTGTTTGAGTTTGCCAAAGAAACGTTACTCATACATGTGTTACCAGAAACTCAATGAGGAATAGCCTTAGTATTGTTTCTCAAGATTTTCTTACATACTGTTTTCTTGATGATAAATAATTTCTTAAAATCCTTCTCTATCCCATAATTCTAGCATTTGCTGAGTCAATACAAGGAAATGTTGGTTGATTGTAGCTTATTTTCATAATATTGCCAGTGATTGAAAGAATGTTGTTTTTCTGTGCATATCATCTTTAAGAGAAATATTTCTGTGAGCTATAACGTCAGTATAGAAAATCCCATGAAATAGGGACCAGCAGTTGGTGTAATGGCTGTGTCACAGGACTCCCATGTAGTTGACTGCGGTTTGAGTCCTGGGCCCTGTGGCTTAAACTCATACTGTGTGTGCATGTGTGTGTGTGTGTGTGTGCATGTCCAAGATCCCGAGAGGAGAAGGGAGGAGAAGAGATTGTGGTGTGGCCACCCCCAACCACCCCCCCTCCCCCGGGTGATTTCTCGCTTTCTGTCTTTCTGCCTCTTATCTTTCTGGCGAGCACACGCGCCCTATAACAAAAACCTGTCAAGAAAAAAAAAGAAAAGAAAAAAATCTCATGAAACATATAACACAGTTGAACACAGTTGGAGAGAATAATTATTAAAAAAAAAAACAAGTTGCATCACCATTACTAGGCTTAAACATGACCCTAACTGATCATAACCCTCTTCCTCACTCTTAATCACTGTTCTGACTTCAGAATTGTTTTCATGCTTTTAAAAATATATTTTAGGGGCCAGCAGTTGGCGTAATGATTACATTGTTGGATTTCCACGTAGTCAACCATTGTTTGAGTCCTGGACCTGGAGGGTTAAAACCCATGCCAGGTGTGTGTGCTCATGTGCTCAAAATCCTAAGAGGAGAATGGAGAAGAGATTGTGGCATGGCTATCCCCCTTGGGCTGATTTCTCACTTCCTGTCTCTATCTATCGAGCGCATGTGCCCTATAGCAAAAATCTCAGAGACCATCTCGATACATTCTGGTATAAACAAAATAAACAATTGAATAATACTTGTTTAGAATAATACTATTTATATCCTATATATATGTACACACACAGAGCAGACATATATATTGAGTTGTCTGTCGGAAAGGTCATGATGCATTTTTGTATAGAAAAAACTACGTCATGACTTTTCCAACAACTCAATATATATATATATATATATATATATATATATATGGTTGCTTTGGTCAACATTATTTGACCCACAGCTGTTTTCCATGTAGTCATAGTCCATTTATATTGCTAAATTAATTTTATTAAATGAATAGTCCACAGTTTATCTAGTCTCTGTTTATGGACATCTGCGTTGGTTGAGTGTAAGACTGTCAAGACTTGTGCAGACATTCTTGCACATATGTGCTGCTGTGCAAATAGGAGTTTTTGAGGATATGTACCTAGAGGAGAAAGAATTTCAGTTTTCTCTTTTCTAAATAATGCCAGATGCAATTCTCCTTAGCAACTGCAGGACTGTAGCGACATCAGCCTCGGGGGAATAGCTGAGTTGCTCAAGGAACAAAGAACTCCGAGCAGAGCAGTGGAGGCTCCCTGGATTAGAGAGAAGAAGTGACCTTGGGACCAGTAATGAGCCATCCTGACTACAGGCTGAACCTCCAGCCCCTGTGTGTCTTTTGTGGTTGGACCACACGGTTTTGGTGCTTCGCCAGGTCACAAAAAGTCAAAGAACAAGTCCATGCAAGGGAAGAAAAAGAGTGTGTTTGAAACCTACATGTCCAAGGAGGAAGTTTCAGAAGGCCTGAAGAGAGGAGCATTTATCCAGGGTATATTGAGAATTAATCCAAAGAAGTTTCATGAAGCCTTCATTCCTTCCCCGGATGGTGATCGAGACATTTTTATCAATGAGGTTGTTGCTCATAATAGAGCCTTAAGTGGGGATCTGGTGGTCGTGAAACTGCTTCCTGAGGAGCAGTGGAAGGTCATTAAGCCAGAGAGCACTGACAGAGAGACAGAAGTGGCCTGTGAGTCAGCTCTCCCTGAAGAGTACACCATCTTGCACAGCAGTCCCCAAAAGGTTCAAATGACAGCCCTAATGTCATTATCGAAGCTCAGTTTGATGATAGTGCCTCAGAAGATGGACATGGCAGCACAAAAAATGTGCTGGTTGATGGAGTTCAGAAACTCTCCATTTGTGTTCTTGAAAAAGGAAAAGAGAATGTTGGTGCACCATGTACAAAAGATGAGCGCTCTCCCGTGTCACAGGACACAAGAGCTTTACCAGAAAAGTCACTGCAAAGATCAGCAAAGGTGGTTTACATCTTAGAGAAAAACCATTCCCGAGCAGCAACTGGCTTCCTCAAACTCTTGGCCGATAAGAACAGTGAACTGTTCAGGAAATACGCTCTGTTCTCTCTTCAGACCACCGAGTGCCTAGAATTTATGTGCCTCTCAAAGACTGTCCACAAGCCTTTGTGATGCGGCCTAAAGATTACACCAACACACTGTTCATCTGTCACATTGTGGACTGGAAAGAGGATAACAACTTTGCTCTGGAGCAACTGGCTAAGAGTCTTGGGCAGGTTGGGGAAACTGAGCCTGAAACAGAGGGAATACTAACAGAGTATGGCATGGATTTCTCTGATTTCTCTCCTGAAGTTCTAGAATGCCTCCCTCAATGCCTGCCCTCGACAATCCCACCAGAGGAGTTCAGCAAGAGAAGAGATTTAAGAAAAGACTGTGTCTTCACTATTGACCCGTCAACTGCCTGAGACGTTGATGATGCCCTCTCCTGCAAGCCTCTCCCTGATGGCAGCTTTGAAGTGGGAGTTCACATCGCCGATGTGAGCTACTTTGTTTCTGAGGGATCTGATCTGGACAGAGTGGCTGCCAAGAGAGCCACAAGTGTCTACTTGGTTCAGAAGGTGATCCACATGCTCCCCAGACTGCTGTGTGAGGAGCTGTGCAGCCTCAACCCCATGACTGACAAGCTGACCTTCTCCGTGATCTGGAAATTGACTCCAGAGGGCAAGATCCTTGCTGAGTGGTTTGGCCGGACCATCATTGACTCCTGTGCCAAACTGAGCTACAAGCTTGCACAGAGCATGACTGACAGTACTACAGAGAAGATCTCTGAGGAGGAGCTCCCCCCCATTTTTCCAGAGCACAGCAGCAAGGAGATCCACCAGGCTGTCTTGAATCCCCACAAAATTGCCAACCAGCTACGTCGACAGCGCTTTGTGGATGGTGTGCTTCATTTGGATCAGGTAAAGCTTGCTTTCACTCTGGACCACAAAACTGGATTGCCTCAAGAATGTCATGTCTGCGAGTACCGCGACAGCAACAAACTGGTGGAGGAGTTCATGCTCTTATCCAACATGGTGGTAGCCCATAAGATCCACCGTGCCTTCCCCACACAGGCCCTGCTGTGCCGGCACCCTCCTCCCCAGACGAAGATGCTCAAGGACCTGGAGGAGTTCTGCAACCAGATGGGACTCCCTATTGACTTCAGCTCTGCGGGGACCCTCAACAAAAGTCTGACTGAAACATTCGGAGATAACAAGTACTCCCTGGCCTGGAAGGAAGTACTCACCAACATGTGCTCCCAGCCCATGCAGATGGCAGTGTACTTCTGCTCAGGGGTGCTACGGAACCAGGCCCAGTTCTGGCACTATGCCCTCAATGTGCCGCTCTACACACACTTCAGCTCTCCCATTTGCCACTTTGCAGATGTCCTAGTGCACTGCCTCCTGGCTACAGTACTAGGCTACCAAGAGCTACTGGACGTGGAGCCAGAAGCCCTGCAGAAGCAGGCTGAGCTCTGCAACAGCCGCCACATGGCATCCCAGCACGTGCAGGAGCTCAGCACCAGCCTCTTCTTTGCTGTCCTGGTCAAGGAGAGTGGCCCCCTGGAGTTGGAAGCCATGGTGATGGGCATCCTGAACCAAGCCTTTGATGTGCTGGTGCTGCGCTACGGCGTGCAGAAGCGCATCTACTGCAACGCCCTGGCGCTGCGGTCCCACCACTTCCAGAAGGTGGGCAAGAAGCCGGAGCTCACACTGGTCTGGGAACCTGAGGACAGCAAGCAGGAACCGGCTTGGCAGGTCATCACCATCTTCAGCTTGGTGGAGGTTGTCCTGCAGGCAGAGGCTATGGCCTTCAAGTACAATGCCATCCTGAAGTGGCTAGGCACCAAGGCCTCCCTGGGCCTGGAGCAAGAGGAGTTGGAGAACTAATCCAAGGACTGAGACGCTGGCCCCACCAGCCCTGCCAGCCCCACCAGCCACTCATGCCCCACCCCACTTGCTTTTAGGAATAGGATCTTTTGACACCAAAGGGGATTTTTAATTTGTTTTTTAACAACTCAGGGATTTGTTATTATTTAATTAATTAATTAATTAATTTTTCAGCTCAGTTTTTAATGAACTGGAGGGGAGAGGGTGGGGCTGAACGGACCTGAGGCCTGGCCAGAGCTGAACTGAGCAGAGCAGCCCCAGCTCTCAGAGGCCACTCTCCCAGGCCTCCCATTGCCCACCCTTCCCAGAAATGGGGGGTTCAGCAAATCAGTGTCATGGAGTAAAATCAAGTGTGAAAAAAAAAAATAAATAATGCCAGATGCTTTTCCAAAGTCATTTTGTCATTCTAATCTGCACTCCCAGTAGCAGGGTATGACAGTACCTGGTAATATTAGGCTCTTTAATTTTCAACATTTTGGTAGATATGTCTTGGGATTGTATTATAGTTTGAGGTTATTGTTATTCTGTGAAAGTCTGTGAGGATTCTGGCTGAAAGAAAGTCATTTTGATATGGGAGTTGTTTTTCACAAAATTGAGAGGAATTTGTTTTATAGTTGTATTATAGTTACCTGAGAACATGTATAATCTCCAGCATTTAATTATTAATATTATCAAGCTATAAGCTGAGTTGAGATAAAGGTTTTTGTGTCTGTTTATTGTAAGGGATGTGAGAACGCATTCATCATGGGGCATGGTCCCACCACAATCCCTCTTTTTGGGGTTTTGTGCAAGCATGAATATGCTCCCCACATGTTTCTGAAGACACTGAGTCTGGGACTCAAACTGCACAACTGGCCATGTGAAATCCAGCTGCTTAATTACCATGTCACTGGCTAGCCCACAGATAAAGTTTCTTAAAATGGAAAGAACTTTACTGAAAATTAGCTTTCTGGAATGTGCAGGAAAGATTTTAGATGATGCAGATTTATTAACATGACAACATTTTCATTGTCAACCACACAGTTTTCTAATATTGATGACTCTTTTTAAATACAGCAGTGCACACAACGGAGTATGGCGATGGAAGAGTGACACAGCTTGTGAGAGGGCTCTACAGTATAAAGTGGGAGAGAAGATCCATGGGTTCACCATCACCCAGGTATGGGCCATACTTGTCGTTTCTTTAAAGATTGTCTTATGGGGCCAGCCCCATGGCCTGATAGTTAAGGGACCCGGATTCTGTATGGCCAGCCTCATGATTGGAATCCCAGCTCTGATGGCTTGAAAAATGCCCAATATTTTGACAGGATGGAGAAACGGAAGAGGAAGGATTGTGGTGTGCCTATGCCCTATTGAGGGGGAGGAGATGCTTTCTTCCTCTCCCTCTTTCTGTCTTTTTCTATATCGGGCGAGCATAGGAGCCCTTCAGCAAATTCAGATAGACAAACAGGATCAGTTTATGTGAGGAGGATGCTGGCAAGTGGACTGGGGTTTTCATCCTTTGCCCCTAGCTAGGCCTGGCATAGTTCTTATTTTAGGGCAGGTGCTTCCTAAGTAGAGTTTGCAAATGAAATTATTCCAGTCCCTCACCTGTGTTCCTTGAAGCCTTACATCTTTTCAGGTTTAATAAAGGAGAATACCCCGTAGGATCTCTGTAGGCAAACATGAGGTTTCTGGAGCCTGATCTCACGGTTCATTCTGTATGTGGTCAGCTATAGCTGTCTATATCCTCCCTCAGGTCATTCAGGGTTTGCCATCAGTTTGATCTAAACTTAGATAGAAACTCTGTTTTCTGGGCCCTCTGAGTTTCTGAATTGTAGAGAAGAGACTGTAGATTATGGACCTGTATTTACTTCTGTTTGTGTTAAAATGTATTTATTTAGTTTGTGTTTTTAGCATAAACTTTCACATTTTTTTAATTTAATATAATAACTGAAAAATGTGTGCATTAAATATTTGACTGACTCAGCTTCATGGCTGTGCCTGTGTCTGTACCAAATGCAGAGCAATCTAGAAAGACCCCCTGTGTAGCTGTAAGTCAGGACAGAGAATGACAGGCATCACATAGACGTGCCAAGAGCATAGGGAGGAGTTGGGGGATGTACTACTGCTGCTGGTGGGAGCGGAAGAGCTCATGGCCAAGGTGGCATTTAATGAAGACAGCGGTCTGTCTCCAGGCAGCGCCTGAACAAGGCCATGTGGAGGAGTCCCAGACCAGGTCCAGGCACAGTGAGTCATGAAAGTGGGGGTCGGCATTCATAAAGGCATTGCAGAGAAGTTTGAGTTTATAAGTACAGGTACTAAGGAACTTGTTCAGATTCAGAAATTTTATATAT